GATGTGACATATAAGCAACAGAACACCAAGCAGTCATTTTTTTTTTTGTCATGCAGCCTTTAAAAAGGAATAAGGCAGCTCAACATATTTCACGTCTCCAGAAGGTTGTAGTTGATAACCACCAAACGTAGTTGTAAATTCGCAGACTCCACTTAGCTCAATTAATAAACATTGTTTTTACTCCAATATCAAAGCTTCTATAACTGGAAAAACACCTGTTTTGTGTAGGATCACAGACATCCCAGAAAATTAACACAATGGATTATGGGTGGTGGACATGAACTTTACTCCATCTCTGATAATTCTAAATTTACCTTGTTATTCCAGATCCATTTCAAGATACATCTTCTCCATGAAGGCTTTCCCTTGCACCTCTGTGCCTACCACATGACAAGCCACCAGTGTCCCCATCTCAAGGGGCAATAGAGGAATTATCCACACTATTCCACATGTCGTCATGCCTACCTTTGCATCAAGTCAGGAAAAGTGGTGTCTAAGGACTGTTGGCAATTATCATTGGATGAAACCTTACTGAGTCCGTAAGCTCAACAAGAAAAATGATGGCCACACCATCCAGCCAGGTGTTTTGAGTCAGAAACCTGAAGATCACACCAGATTTCTCCCTTTCTTTCCCCACCCCCCCCCAACCCCTGCAACAATTAATCAGTAAATCTTGTCCACCAGACTTTCAAACTAAATCTCAATTCCACTTTCTTCCTCCATCCACACTGCGGTCTCCTGAACTCCGGCCATAACAGTCACATGGGACTGCAAGAGCACCATAACTTGCTTTCACTCACCCTGCCACTCTCCTTTGTACTCAAAATTTCCCTGGTTTCTGCCAAAAAAAAAAAAAAAAAAAACCCACTGGTAGTATAAGAGGAATGATTAAATAAAGACTAAATGCACTGATTAAAAAAAAAAAAAAAAAACAAGGAGAAGGTGATGAGGTCTGCCTAAGGAGATTAGGCAAGGTTTCAGAGGACAAGATCCTTTGATCATTTCTTGAAGGACAAGCAGCCATTTTCCAGATGGGTGACGTGTGTGGGGGAGATCACTTTGGGAAAAGGAATAACACGTACAAAGGCACTGAGGCATGAATCAGCAGACTGTTTAGTACATGGTAAGCAGTTCAGGAGGGGTAGGAAGCAGGAAGTACGGTGTAGGAGGGGTGAGGGAGGTAAGCAGAGTCTACCCACGGAGAGCCTGCTCCTATGAGCCGAGGAGTCTCTCTACCTTACTACTGCTTTGGGGTCATGGCTATTTCAAGATCTAGTAAAACTATTAGCCGGCTTCTCAGGAATTAAAAAAAAAAGAAAAAAAACACATTCACCAAAATAGTGTGTACAGTGTCCATGAACACTCTGAAGCACAGAAATTGCTGGGACTTCAGGTCTAAAATTCTCTGATAGGCAACATGCCCATTTTTAGTTTGTAAAAATGGCTGGAAGTATATACGACAAGCAGGAGAGTAATATGATCCAATTTGTGTTTGAGAACAATAGCCAACTCTGTTGAGAAGAGATTAGAAGTGAGACCAATGGTAAAATGAACAATTAAGACATCATGACAACCATCTGGTCAGGAGACGGTGCAAGGAATTGCCAAGAAATTTCTGAAAAAGATAAGCGTGATTCAGGCTGTCAGATATTTAAATGCAATATAACAGTTAAAATAATGTGATATTGATTCAAAAATTAAAAATGAGGTGGAGAAATCAATGAAAAAGATAGAAAATCCACATCCAGGATTTTGTATTATGTTTGTTCAGGTAAAGCTTAAAAGGGAAAGGGAAGAACATTCAATTAATCTTTGTTTCTTTCTTCAGTCTTTCTAATTGAAACGTATTTGCAAAAATACAGTTTAAAAAGTCCTATTCTCATACTCCTACACAAAAAACAATTCCAGACAGATTAAGATTTAAATGTAAATTCAAGAAACCAAAAACATACTGGAAGAAAAGCTAGGAGAACTGTGTGCAATCTTCGGATGGAGGAATCTTTTCTAAACACAACACCAAAGGCAGCAACTTCAAAAGGAAAACATATTAAGATTCAACCACATGCACAAATATTTCTCATGTAAAAATATACCAAAGGAAAAAACTCAAAATGTGTCTAATAGGAAAAATATTTACATTATAGAAAACCTATAGACAAATAGAATACTCTCTGTACTACATAAAGAACTTCAATAAAATTAACTGAAAAATAAACATCCCAAAAGAAAAGCAAGGACCAATTAAAAGGCAATTTACAAAGGAAAAAATGTCCAACCTCACCAGTATTTTAAGAAATGCAAATAAAAGCACAATGAGATACCATCTCCCCCATATCAGATTGGCAGAGTTTTTTAAAAAACAGTACTACTTAAGATACTGGAAAATATGCCCTCTCATGCACCACTAGGAAGAGAATAAATTGAAAGGAGAAAACTTTCTGGAGGCCAATTTGACAAAAATAATTAAACCTCTATAAATAAATACATTCTTTCATCTGCCAGCTCTGCCTCTAGAAGAGTTTCCTAAGGAAACAACTGTGATATAGCTACAAGGAAATACACAATTTTTACAGTAGCAAAGAATTTAAATTTGATGGGATAAGTGAATGCTATCTAACCATAAAATGTTACCCATATATAAAGAAGTATGTTAAAGAAGAACATTTAAAGGCATGGGTAGATGTTGACACCAATTTTTTTTTTTTTTTTAAGATTTTATTTGAGTGTGTGTGTGTGTGTGAGAGTGAGAGAGAATGAGAGCACGAGTAGGAGGAGCAGCAGAGGGAGAAACAGGCTCCCCGCTGAGAAGGGAGCCCAACACGGGGCTCAATCCCAGGACCCTGGGATCATGACCTGAGCCGAAAGCAGACGCTTAACCAACTGAGCACGCAGGGGCCCGGGCACCAATTTCTTAAATGAAAAAACAAGCAAGAAATAAAGAGACTATAAAATAGTATTACCATATATTAACTTAGCACAACCCCACTGTCCCCCCATGCTGCTATACCTACACAAGAGAATATAAATTGGTTGACACAATAATTTGAAATCCAATTCAGCTGCACCGATACAACAAATGATCACTAGTACCAGTAGCACTAGGAGTGACTGAAGAAATAACAACTGAAATGATGCACGACACTAAGCAAATGGAGGCTAACTCACAGTTAATGTGTAACAGAATTCAGATGGGGAGCCAGGTTTCTCTAAGCTCTTCATTAACCCGATTTAATACCTCTGGTGCAGCCTGATGGACCCTGTTATGTCTCCTCACCCCGGTCTCCTCATTCTGTCCTACCCCCTCCCCCTGGTACATGGCGGCCCAGAAATGAGAGAGAAAACCCCCCAGAGGAAAACTACACACAGATGGACAAGAAAACTATGGAGGTACAGGACAAGAGGTTTCTGACAGCCTGAGCAAGCTCTCCAGGGGTGGCACAGACAGACAGGAGTTGCAAATTATTGCCGAAACGTGATGCGCTGGTATAAATGAGCACCATTAGCACCTGGCTACCATTCCGTAGCCTCCAGCTTCTGATTCTGTGCCAGTTGCTAAGTATCCCAGTTTGTATGGAGCAGGGCAAATGGCAGGTTTTCATCCATTTCTAGTATAATGTTTTTATTTCAAAAGGTCCATATGGAGCCCCTGCAAATCCACAAATATCACACAGATCAGTTTACCAACCAATAAAACCATTTTATCTACTTTAGAACAGCCTCTCAACTAACCTGTATTTCATTTTGATGTATGAAAGTTACAACCAGTAATATTGAAGCGTAATTTACGATGAAAAAAACATGTTTCTGTTGGGTCACATGGGCAGGCTTATGTTTGTGATTGCTAATTCCTCCACCTCTGAGTTCCTCCTTTCAGAACTACAGACAGGAGTCTCATCTGAAGACCTTGCTCTTCGCTGAAAGCAGTTGAAGAGGGAGACAAAAAGAGCTTTTGAAATGCGGGGTGGGGGAGAGAAGAAAGAAAACAAACACCCATACAAACCAGTGGGTGTTTAACAAGGGAAGTTATCTCAAAGGTCACAGATTGGGGGAAGAAATATGCTATTTACCAATGGTGGGGAAGGAAAAATCCCAAAGACACATAAAACTCATTCTAAATATTTGCTACTCTGTGTTATTTCAACCCAGCGTGCTGGAGCAAGGGATACCTGAGTACACACTGAGGACACCAAGCTATGGGGTCCAGTTCCCTTCTTCAGCTGCAAGAAACTGCTCTCACAAGGACCTCACTGGTTTTAGCAGAATTCTATTATTATCCAGGGAGAGTAACCTCAGAGGATCTCTATTTTACCATCAATAATTCTTTAGGGATATAATTTTTTCATTCATTTTATTTATTTATAGTATATTCCAGCTCAATTATTTCAGTTGATTTGTTTCATGATTTTGCTTATTTTCATCTGTTTGGAGTCCCGCTCATAAAACTTGCTTGAATCTATTTTGTTGACATATAAATGACTATAAAGTCATTCCAAAAATTAGAAAAGGAATGATACTTGTTAAGAGAAAATGCAACTATTAGTCAATTCTGAAAGATTTACATCGACAAAAAAGGCATCTCCCCATAAATTAAATTATATGTGGCTTTTCTTTTGTATTTGGAAATTCCAGGGATGATTATTTAAAAGCAAAATAATCCATCTACCAGAATAACTCAAAACAAAACCTTGGTGTTATAAGACCTGACAGTATTTCTTGGAACAGAATGTTATTAATTCATAAACGGAAGTCAGGTACACAAACGCCTGCCCCACACACAACGTAGAACATTTTGCTTCAGAAAAACCTTCAGTCATATTTTGACCATAAACATGGCTTGATCATCACACCAGTGGGAGCTTTAGACTATGTAAACTGTTTTCCATTTCACACACACTCAGGCAGACAAAGATGAACATTCTTTCCACAGATGCTCATTTGGTTTCCCCCACACATCATCAACAAACCCACGCTCCTCTCCTGAAATACCTTTCCTGACTTACCTTGGGCACAGCCGTCTGGAATAGGAGAGCCGCCACAGTGGAACCAGCATCAGAATGTGGCCAAGGAAAAGGAAATCTCAGTTCCTACAAACAATACAAATCTCTGACATTCAATAGCAGGGGGGAAAGGGGAGCTGACATCCCGTCTAATCTCAGTGCTTTCATAGCAGATATTTTAATGAAAACAATTCAAGCTCCTGACGCAACAGAGGATAGACTTTGCATAATATTTAGTTTCTAATGCCTCCAAAAAGGTACCTGATATTTATTTATGATCCAAATATATTAAGCCTGAAATGGAAAAGCTTCTAGAATTTCTAAAGAGACTACATAAAATTGCCTGAATAATTATTAGCAAATAAGTTGGAAAAAAAAACATTTCTAGTTCCCTTTTAGGTTTCTCTGATAATTATTTTTTCAACCTATCCCACCCCACCCCACCCCACCCCCACGCTGGATCATGACAACGTGTTTAAAAGATTGTAACAGAGAAATCATTCATTTCATTGTTAAAATCTCCACAGAGTCCATTTTTAAAGATCATTTGGAAAAATCCTAAGAGATTTTGTAAAACATCCCAAATTCAAAAGCGCAAAGACCCTGTGAAGTGTCAAGTGAGGAGGTTTCTTGGGGGCTTCTGAAAAAAAAACAAGTTCCTCACAAATGGAACTGAAAAGTACAAAACCATTCTTCTCCCAAATCACAAGACAAACTTAATTCCTGTTTAACTGGAATTAAACAATCACAAGATCACATAACCATTACTTTATTAAGTCACCCTTCATGAGAAAGACACAAATGAAATATAAACAAGCTGTTCCAGGGACTTATTTTTAAAAGCAGCTATCAGAATATGATCAGCAGAGATTCGACCCACTATTCACCCTCACATGTATCAGGAGGATTCTAAACTTATGATCTATGTTCATATGATAATGTTCATATTAAGTATATTTTTTTCTAATTATTTGAAAGTGTTTTTGCCGCAATGTGATATAAATTCTAACCCCAAGTCCATTACAATATGTAATTAACTAACCTAGCCACAGCCTATTGTGGGCACACTGAATTCACAACAAAATGAAGAAAGAGGGTTATTTATTTTACTTGGGGGAGAGAGGTACAGAGAGAAATGAGTGAACAATTAAAAAGATAACTTTAATAAGCATCATTTCTTTGTAGAACAATTCAATGAGAACATGAGGTTAAGGACTGAAAAGCTTATATTAATAGTTAACTTCACAGCAGAATAAATTTGGGGAAATCGCTTAACCTCAATTTTACCAAAAGTACATCAGGGGAAGTATTATGTTTTCTGCATCTCCCGTAATACAAAATTATATTATAAATACAAAATTTACTACCTATTCAAATTGAAATGGATAGAGGTAAATTGGCCATAGACATCTATCTATCATCACCTAGAGAAAATAAGACTGACCACTGATAGGGAGTAAAAATATATAAATGCTCTCTTTATATCTTTATATGGATTGATTGGAGTAAAATGCTCACTTACTAACCAACCTGAAGCTTCCTGTGAGGTTATCAGGCCATCACTATTACCATCTCCTACCTATCAGTGAAAAAGTGAAAGCAGAAATCATAACAACAAGTTGTCCAATAAAAGGGTGGGGCTAAATACGGGACTTCGAAAAGTACTGAAGATAGTGCTCTGCATTCATTAAGCACATGTCTGGAGCGCCTGGGTGGCTCAGTCATTAAGCACATGTCAGTGGCGTAAATGAATCAACTGACATTCCAGAGCCCAGGAGGTTGCCAGCCTCCCCAAGCACCCTGCGGTGGACAAGTCCTGGTGCTTCCCAAGACCCCTAGACGCTCACTTAAGACCAAATGTGCAGGAAGCACATATTTCTGCTACTGCCTGTCACCATCTCTTTCTGTCCCTATCTCTCTTATTCGTCTCTTTGCTCCCTCTAAGACACCCGGAGTTTGCTCCAAGGGAGTTCACGATGTAATACATTTGTAAGAGGAGAGGCCAAGTTCTTAAGCCTACTCCTCTTAGCTCTCCCAATAACTACTAGCCTTAGGGAAGTCATAATAGATTTCTTTATTTTCCCAGCCACAGAAGGATTAGAGGTGGAATGTGACCAACAGTCTGTTGATGTCAAGGATGTTAAAATGAGCCTATTCCTCCCAAGAGGGAAAACTACCAGGGGTTCAAATGGTGTTAAGAGAATTGGAAAAGCCGAACGAAGAATTTCCTTTTATCCCTAATTCGTGGGACCTACTGCAGGACTCTCTACAAAGCCCAAAGAGGGGAGCCTGACAGACTGTCCCATTGCTTCAGTAACATTCTATAGGATGACTGGTAACAGCGTCTTCACGGACCAGGGTGTGTGGGTGATGCCTTGCTGGGCTGGTCACAAAACTAAGGCTACGAAAAACTGAAATGAAGTGGGAGTTACCATTATTAATTAGGTACTGACAACAATAAAGAACTCTTCTTAGCACTCTCAAAAGCCCGGGTAATATATCCAAATAGTTTTCCTCATTCACCCAAGAAGAGTTTAAATAGTTTCACAGGAAGGTGTAATTAACAGCCAAAACATAATCATATTTCTTACTCCTTCTCTTGGGAAGGACAATCAAGAGTTAAATGAAAAACAAGAAGAGAAGCCTCAGAACTTGGATGTCCTATAATCAAGAATATTCAGTCCCTGGAAATTACATACCTGAGTAAACCCTGAAAGGTAACTTGTCCAATGAACCAAGCACAAAAACCAGAATTCTTTTCCACTAATCTAAGTGTTAACTCATTTTCTACTCATTTTCAAGGTAATCGATCATACTGAATTACATTTTCAATCATACTAAAAAAAGGCTGGACCAAAGATCCACATTTTCACTTCATTCTTGCTTAAAGCAACAACATAATCTACGAGACCTTCTGGACCCTTGGCCCAGTGTAGGTGGGCAGGCCGTTATCCAGCCAACAGCCAGCCACATACAGGTACACTCTCAGAGAGTAAGGTATATCTGATTTCATTCACTGAGTCCACATACATTTCACCACCCAAATGAAAGGCCCTCGGGAGAAAAGAAGAAGATATAGACCCTGCCCTCAAAAAGCTTAAAATTTGTAATGGACACAATTTCATGCCAAATTACTTTAATATGAAGTAAAATGTACTGAACGCCATAAACAAGCTTTTAAAAAAGTCAAGCATCCATGCCATTTCAGAGGCAACAGCAACACTGAGAAACAGGGAACATTTCCACTGTTTTAAAAATCATCCCAGAAAATATTCCAGATTGTTAAACGTATCTGAGAAAACAAAGCCTCAGAGCTAAAGGAGGAAAAAACAAAAATCAAAAAACTTTTAAAGGAGCATCTCCTATTTCTTCCTTCAACTACTTACACACCAGAAAACTTAAAATGACTTCAAGGTTCTCCAAGCAAACTTTGTCAATTCTCTGTGAGAAAGGTAGTTTGAAAGATTAAAATGTGAAGCCAGAGAACTTCACATCATTATACATGTGCACCGGTCACATCATCCTTAGGATTAAAAATTGCATTTTCTTTTTTCTTTTTATTTATTTATTTATTTTTATTATTATGTTATGTTAATTATCATACATTACATCATTAGTTTTTGATGTAGTGTTCCGTGAGTCATTGTTTGCGCATGACACCCAGTGCTCCATGCAGAACATGCCCTCTTTAATACCCACCACCAGGCTAACCCATCCCCCCACATCCCTCCCCTCTAGAACCCTCAGTTTTATTTTTTCGATTAATACTGTAAACATGCACCGTCGGAAGCTTCTTACCTTAGCTGTTTAATTATCCATCTGACTGCAGATGAGATCAGCTCATTATAAGCCAATTTTGAGAAAACTATGCATCTATTTAAAAGCATAGCTTGTTTGCTCAAGTACAAAGTTGACTGAATTCTCCTAGACTAGAAAGCGATTGGCATGTTTGCTTGCGCCTATCAGATTATTTAATTGCAAAACTGGGAATTATTCCATAGATGTGAATGGATATCTAATTTATGTCACAAAGGAGAGATTATACTCTTAGGAGAAGTTATTTACTTACTCATTTTCCTAACTAGATTTCCATGCACATGAGAACTTCAAGTCAGGAAAGCACTGCCAAAAATGTTCACCAGAGACAACCAAAAAGAGATCATAAATGTCTTGTTAGCTGTAAATCATGATAAAAATGAAGATGTTTGGGGAATGGGATTACAGCTGGTCTAGAATGAAGAGTTTTAAATTTGTATTAACCCAAGCAAATTAGAGTATACGGATTTTAATTTATGCCTTAATATAGAGTTGTTGTAGATTTTGCCACGAAATAAGAAAAATCAAGGGAAAGGACCAACTCCCTTAATTTTTGACAAGATATTTGTTTCCGATTATAAGGTGTGTACCTCCTCCTTCTCCTCCTCCTATGTTGACAAACATACTTCTCTTGCCCTCTAACTTTAGTACACTCATCTCTGCAGTAACTTAACCTGACCTTGTTTGTCTACAGTTGCTACAATTTCTCAGCTATCTTTAAGTGATTTTTTTGAGGGAACAACTTATCAGGGCTTCTCTTATGTGCTCTTGTGTTCATGCCCCCACTTTACTTTCCTTGTCACGAGAGGAGTACACCTACATAAGTCTATTAACTCATGGCTTATTTGTTTGTAGTGGGGTGAAGCTGTTTTTAAGAAAAGGACTGGAGTGGGAAATAGAAGATAAGGAGCATGGCCAGTGTTTGGCCTCCGGCTAGTTCGCAAATTCACTGAACCGGTCTTCTCAGGCACAACCTAAGGAGGACTCTGCCACATGATTAATCTCAGAGATTCTGATAACCTTGAAACCAAGTGACTCTCTAGCTCTTTGACTTGGGGCCTCATATTTGGATACCATTTGTTACATTAAAAGATGGCCAGCCCTTCTCCTGATGGCTATAAACCCAGACAAAGACAAAGGGCACATACACGAGGACTCGGTGTAAACAAGAGAAGCAGGTAGGGAGGGGTACACAGCATGAGCAGGGGCGGGGGAGTGGAGAGGAAGAGGGAGAGAATGAGAAA